CCCTCAGCCAGGGTCAACCCACCACACCTATTTAAACACTGCATGCCACTATCACAGACTTTCACCAAGGTTAAAGAAATCAATGCAAACCCAAAATATCTTCCCCTCAAAACTACTATTCGAAACCAGATTATTTATTTTACGTACTTATTTTTTAACTTTTTGTACTTTGTAAACCATATGCTTACTGATTAGACATACCAGATTTAACAACTCTACATCGTTTGCTATATGAAACGTAAAAATAATGTAGGAATTGGTTAACAAGAAAAAGATCTGAAAGTGTATTTTTCTTTCTCAGCTATCACAAATTTGGAAGATTTGTGCAATATTTCATTCTTGGAAGTAACATCTAACAAAAAGTGACGTGACTGGAGAGACTGCACATTACATGACTGTGCAAACGCATCATCATTTCTGTGATTTTGCATCATCATTTCATTTAACAGAAACAATGAGACCTGGAATTTTTAAAGCCATTTGGACACCTAAGAATCTATAGACTTATCAGAAAACAAGTATTCAATATTAAGACATCCAGACCTTGGAAAGGTTCTTCACTCTGAATTTCAGAGAAGCATTTTACAAAATAAGAACAAGTTTTCAAAATATTACAATGCTAATTTAAATCTTTCTTTAAACAAAACAAAAAACCTTTCCACAGATGAAAGAATATATGCATGCCATACTGAAAAGTCTCATAATATGTCCCAGACTCATCTGATTTTCAAGCTGGTTCTTACATTTAATTGAGAAATGTATCTCTCTCTTGATCCTGAATTCACTGCTCTGCTTCAATTCTGCACTATATTCTATAGGCTCTGATGACTGTATGTAGGAAAGAGCTCAAAGTGCCTGAGTGGAGTGGAACTGTACATGCACAGCAGAATATTAAGGGTGAAAATCATGTAGGTACAAAGGCCTAATGAAAAATGCATACATGAACTATTGGTCCTATATATCCTATTGCATTAAATGAAAACCAATGAAAACAATTTAATATCTAACCTAAGCATATTCCATTCAAATAAGCTTAGTATTTCTCAGTAAGGCATAAACATTAAATTTAACTTGACTTCTATTAAATGTAAAGCAATCACACAAAAAAAAAATTAAAAAAGGTTTACATGAGCTTTACATGTCACTACACTTCAGCTATGGAATATTCTAAGACTATCACAATGACACATATACTTGAAGTGGGAATGATTTCTTGATTATATATTACTCCTCTGATGAGAGTTAGTATGTTTGCTCTTGCTGGCCACACAGTATTTTGTAGCAGGAATTTTATGACGAGAAATTTTCTTTTAAAGGCATACATATCATTAGTTGTTTTACTGAATTTCAAAGCAAACAAAAACTGTTTTATTCATTTTAAGATACATTCCTGGTCTTTCTCCTCTCCCACCCTCAAAAAAAATAAAAATTGCATGACCATCTATGGTCACTAGTTCTGTTCTGTTTTAGATGGTTTGAAGAAGGAAACCGTGGTTGTATAATTGATAAGAATATGTAACATTTCTGTAAGATTTGTAGACAAAATATTTACTTACTAAAGACTTATATTTTAAATAGCAACAATCAATTCTTCTCTTTTTCATAAAGAAAAAATATTTATGTTACAGTAAATAATAAATGCAAACATCTTCTAAAACATAAATTTTTCTTAACTGTAAAGTTAACCCAAAATGCCATTACTTAAGAGTTAGAAGATCTTGAAATGCTCTTGAAATTTAGAAGATTTGAATGTTTAGTTTTCCTTTAATTACACTGATTAAATTTTACTCTATTTTTCCCACTTCAAATTTATTATTACACCACAAAAAAATGAGAAGGCCAACCTGTTATATATACCCACCCAGATGTGATCCTACATAGAAAAAAATGATTGGGTTGAATTAGAAAAACTGCCTGTAGGAAGAGGTCATAAATTCTTGTTTGCAGGATACTTGAATCTAGGCAGTTCCGTGTTAAACCAGTATTAAGAGACAGCATCAAAAATGAGTCAGAATGACTTATAAAAGCAAGCCAAACCTTACAAAAAAAGTAGCATAATTAAACACCTACTTGCTTCTGTAGCCACCGTTCTCGCCTTCTTTGTTTTCTCCTCAAGCTTTTCAGCTTGCTTCTTTCTCTCTTATTCAACTTTTGGTTGAAGGAAGTACTTGTAGGCTGCACAAGACCAACAGGTGTGATGTACTGTTCCTCTTCTATAGCACTTGTAGGTGAAGAAAGGTTCATCACAAAAGGTAACCCATCAGCAATGGTGCTCCCAGAAGATTGTCCAGTAGCTTCAAAATCACACTCATTTTCTGTTTCTTTATGTACTAATGTGGTAAAGGAAGTAACTCGAAAGCTTTTTTGTAGTTTCTCATCACCGGAACTATATTGGTCCTGAAAAGAACTACCATCTTTCCTATTGGACTCTAATTGTGAGCCACTTTGCATGTAAGGAGGTGGATTTTCACTTTGGCCATGGTAAATTGTTCCCATACTGCAAATTTCATATAATGCAGGGGACAAAACAAATCTGTCTCTGATATTTAAATCCAAACTACGTGATCTTTTGTGAAAAGGTTTTACACTGCATGCATCATTCATAGAATAGGAAGCAGAAAGATTTCTTTTTTTATTTAATGCCTTTAAGGGAAGTTTTTTACTTCTCATCTCAAATCTGTTAGCTCTTACTTCTAGACAAAGTGCTTCTGTTAATCTTCCAGTACCATTATTATTTCTGGCCATGTATGAAAGCCTTTGATTTTTGATTTCCAAAGTTGCAGTTACCACTTCATGGCAGGTATCCTTGCTAATACCAGACTGAATTTTGAGGAGAGGTGTTTTCCTGATGATTTTGCCAATTTAACAGAGAAAGCAGGCTGATCGTCAGTCCGACTTTTGCAGAAATGTATATTTATTAACTGTCCACGGGAACATTTTGTGTTGCAAATGAAGTTAAAGCCCCCTAACCAAGCTTCACAGAACAGACAGTGCAGTTTTCCAATTGTCCACTGTGCCTATTGACAAGAAAAGACAAAAAAACACCCAACACACTCATTGTAAATAAATGATTGAGAAATCATTAATAGAGTTTTCTCCTTTAATTAAAGGGTTTACTTTTTGTTTTTCAAACACAGTAAAAGAGACTTCACAGCAGAAAGAAAATCCACCATAAATAATGTTCTGATCAAAACTCTGCTTGCTGCAGTGATAACTAATTCTAAGAAATCTAGAACACACATTTCAAAATGTAGGGGCTTTGAAATATATTTAAAATTTGTCCACAGAAAGAATAATGCTGTAATGCTGATGAAAACATTAGATCCTTTAAAGCAGTGAAAGCAGTGAAATCAATTTACCATGTTAATCTGGAATTGGCAAGCACAAGTCTTCTGAGTGCTGATACATTTCTTGCATACTAAGTACAGTGGAAGGAGATTTCTTACAAAGAGAATATAGCTTTTCACTTTGCTTACCCCACAAAAGCTTGAAACGGTACTTGTATTTAGGTGTATGTAGTATTACAACATAATCTGTGTGCAGATACCATGACAAATCCTTAATACTCTATGAGACAGTTATTTTTATTATTTGTAATTCTATGGATTTCATTTAAATCCTGAAGGCACTTTTTCAAAATAAAACATGTATCAAAGATCTATGAACTCCTACAGACTTGCACAACTATTAGTGTTTTCAGTAAATCTACTCATCTCTCAGCAAAAACATTTTTGACGATTAATGTTATGCAAGTGTTTGTAGGATCAAAGCCCAAATGACAACAACATTATCAACTCCAGTCACACATTACTCACTAGTGTGCCTAAAGTAGGGTTTAGCCATGAATACAGAAGCTGCCCAACATTTCTAGTTAAGCATTGCTTTCAGTTGCAAATGTCTTTGCAAGATAGTTTGGGAAAATGATTCCATGACTGATGCTTTTATGTTGAAAGCTTCAGAAAGTTTCAGTAAGATAAATTTTGCGGTTTCAGGAAAAAAAACACCCTTGTGCAGAAAAAAAGGTTATTTTTCAGACACAATGCTCAAAAAAGTTCTGGAAACACGTATTTGAGAAATTTACTCCTGCCCTGTGGGTTAAAACTTCAAAATTTCAGAGAGTAACAAAGATGTGGCTTTCATTGCACTTACAAGAATCTGTTTAAATCTGGATATGTTTTTAACTTAGAGAAAACAAAATTCTCAGTTTACATATGCCCAAAGGCTTTCAAATCCTTGAACATGCAGTTTCTCTCTGACCAACTTACGCATATGCCATTCCCAAAGAAGAACTAAACTGGTTCAGAGATTTACTCTGTCTCCCACACTCCATTTCCCAGATGCCATGGGCTAGGCACTAAAATTCAGGGAAAAGTACTTTCTAGTGCCTTTAGTGAGTCTTTCTGGCACTCAGGCACTATGGAACAGTAACCTAGATCTCCAAATGGAGAGGAAGAGTGATTCATGAAGGTTAGGGAAGAAGGGTAGGAGTCTGGCAAAAATGGGAATGCAAGAGACAGTAGGGAAGAAAAAGGACATCTCTGTGTCCTATGTACACAGAGACAGGGAGATGAGGTGCACTACAAGAGAGTCCAGGACTGATTTAGCATGAGTTTGGCAAGGGACTGGGGAAGCATTGACTCAGTAAAAGAAGTAACAGCCTACTAGTGGAGGAGGTGGTAGGGGGAAAATCAGCAAGATCTGAAAAGGAGCTGAGGGTACAGAGATTTAATGATGGACTGCATAAAGAGGAAAAACTGTGAAGGGTTAGCCAAAGAAGCTAAAACAAGTGATTAGTGATGGGTAAAAGAAAATGCAAGTCAATAAAGGTCACTAGCAGCACCAGCTAGACATTCATAATTATTGAAGATTATCTGTACACTAATGTGTGCATGAAAACCCATTGAGATTGGTTAAGAACAGGGACAGATGGCAAAAAAGAACTGGCTGGAAAGCAGTGGGTTTTTACAGCCTGCAAATAGACTTTGTGCTTATGTAAAATGATTTAGCCTTTGATTCAGGAGTCATACAGGAGAAAATAACACATGATCACAAAATTATTCAGAACCCAGGAGGATCTGGGGATAAGTCAGATTTTTTTTTTTAAAAACCCACACATTTATTCATAAACCCACAGGATCTTTCCAAAGAAGTCTGAAGTGAATGAGGCAAGAGTTCCCAGGATATTAAAGGACAAAACAAACTCTAAGGTACTGAAGGTGTTCATAGAGAACTGCATTCTTTGCCACCAGAGGAGCACTGCTCCTTTGCAATCTTCAGCAAATATGTTAAGCCTTTTCTGAGCAGGGTTTTGTATTTCCCAGGTCTCCAACCAGACTCTCTAGGCTTTCAAATACAGAAGGCTGGCCATTTATGACTAAAAGTGAAAAGAATTAATATTAGTACCAGTATTGAATCTGATTTTACTGAAATAATATACCATGCAAACTACTGTAAAAAACCTGCATCCTTATGATCAGGCATTCCAGATTAGGCAATTCTGTAAAGAGAGGAAATACCTAATCACCCCTAATTTTCACACACACCCCCAAGATTCATGTTTCTGAAACAGATGCACTATTCTGTCATGCACTACTGAAGTATAAGAGATCATTAACTTTAAAAAGAGTTTAATCAATGCTGAACAAAACATAGAGCAAAACAATGAAGGAAGATGAAAGAAATTTTGTTATTTTTTCAATGCTTGGTTTTACAGTCATAACTGTTTTTCTTTGTGTATCATTTTCAGGGTAGATTTGCTTAGATTATAAGTTACTTGCAATATAGTAAAACTTAGACGCTGAAGTCAAAGGAGAAAGAAATGCAGATAGCATTTGCCTCTCAAAATGAAAGACTCATCAGAGAAAAACTGTAGGGCAAAGAAAACCACTGTTTCTGCTTATTATATGTATGCAACAACATTAACTTCTAGACCTAAAATAACTTAAAGAAAATACTCAACTGAAGCAATCAGTACAACAGGAAAGTTATGAAATGGTTTGTAATTTCAATCGGGCAGTTAAAACTCAAAAGCAGTGACACTGGCTTGTCATCAGACCTTTGAATATACAGGAAGGTAACTACTTTCTATTCATATGACATAATAGCACATTAAATAAAAAAGACATCCCATCATATTCGAACAAGTGATCTCTTAACAAACACCCAGGCCAGTTTTATGGAGAAAAATACTCTTATTATTATTATCAACATATGCATTTGTACTGCAAGATATGATGATCACAACAAACCAAAACCCAAAGCCTAGATAATTTACAGAATTTTAAGCATTGACAAAATATGCAGAGGTGCCCATGACAGTTATTTGGCCAAACATAAATACAATCATCTATAAATGGGCAGGAACAGAATTTGTTACTTGTAGGTTTTGTACATACATAAAACAGCATTTAAGAGGGAAAAAAGTTTCTGTAAATGCTAATGATAGAAGTTACTAGAAAAATTCCCTCAGTTAGAAGGTCTCCATAAAATATGTTGACCTTGGCAGAAAAGTTTTTTGCCTTTGAGGTCTGTTGCCCTTATTTATTTCACATTTTGTTGAATGATAAAGATGCAAGCAAGATCAAATCTACCTTTTCAATGACACATTTCAACCACTCTGGAATGGCTTCTAAGTTCACATGCCATACATTGCAAGACTCCTGAGCAGCAGCTGAAGGTTGTGAAGTCTGTTAAAAAAATAATTATTGTATTGATATTCAACATTCATGTAAGCGTTTTTTGTTTGAATATAGCCAGAAGTCAGCTTTCCAAATTCAGTAAATATTTTATTAACAAATGATAAAACTCAAAGATGTTGCTGCATTCTTTAAGCTAAAAATCAGGTAGATGCTGTCATTAATTCTCTGTTTCTGAATCTAAGGACATTGGACAGACTCCACTGTGGAGATAGAAGCGTTTGGAGGTGGTTTTGTTTTGTGTACAAGAACAGAAAGTATGCAATTGCTGATCTTCCAAGTATATTCGGAAAGTGATTACAGAAGCACTATCAGCTGGCATAATTTTCAAGTTAAGACAGGAAAATTTAAGTTCTAGTTTATATGAAGACTGTGGTCAGTACTGCACGACTATGCCACAACTAGTTTTAAATTCATTTTTTAAGGCTTGTTAGAATAACTAGCAGAGAAACCAAGGACTCTTAGCAACTTTTCAGTTTTTACTGAAATTATGTGACCAACTGAAGAGAAGATAAAAATCTAAAAAAACTGTAGCATTTCACTAATTCAATAAAATAAAAACAATCACCTATCTTTTAACACAGAAGTGATACAAATGTAATTAAATCTTTTAATGTGGTTTAGAATGTCAGTAAAGTTATAAAGATGGCTAAAAATATAAGGAATGTCTGTTAAGTGTTAAAGTCTTAAAACCAGTTGTTAAAATTCATTAATATGGAAAATTACTGATTCCTATGTTATGAAACTCATGGGAATAAAAGTTTCATTATGCTGAAAATTGAACGTGGGGCTATACACAGAAGACAGAAGTTTTAGAAATTCTCCAAGTAATGACAGCAGACAGATAGATCCATTTGCCATGTCTATGCTATCGTCTTTCTCTTATCTGTGGAGAGTACTTGTACTTCAACTTGGATATTAATTCTGATTTAAAGTGTTTATACGACATTCATAACTTCAACATTTGGTTTTAAGATTTGTTCTAAGATTTTTCTTTTACTCAGATTTCAGCTATGTCTTGGACTGAAGGTCTAAAGTTCATCAGGGAAATCTGACATACTGAAAACATTACTCTTCTCATCACAGTACAATCTTTGCCTCCCAATGGCTCGAGAAGCAGCATTAAATTGGGTTTTTTTATCTGCTATCTACAGAATTAGAGAAGGAGGAAGATCTCCACTAGCAATTAAAAGCTCTGCCGTGGGGCACGGACAAAGCTGCCTCCTCCTTTCCACTACATTTTTTCCTTAAAAGGAATTTAAATTTCCCCACACACACACCCCAAAACCCACCTCAAACCATGCACAAAATAAAAACTACTCAAGTATAAAGCATGAAAAATATTCCAGAACCTCAAGCTCTGTAAGCAGAGTGATTAAAATGGGATTCATTAATAATATGAATTACATCAAGATCTTAAAAAGTAGTAATTTTTTTTCTACCTCTATTGGTTATACCCTTCACCAATGCCAAAAAGAATGATGTTGCATTTCTAGTGCATTAATAAAAAAGATCAACAACTTCCCTTCTATTTGCTTTTTCACTTTGATTCGAGATCATAGGATGTAAGCACAGTCTTCTTGGCATATTTGGAAAGACTCTAACACTTTATGATTACTAACTGCCATTATAAAGCAGCAGGAAATACTCTGTCATTGTTTTATTCCCTATGATTATTTTTCTGTTTATTTTAATAAAGATGATGTAAATTACTAAGTGGTATTTTAGCCTGGCAGGGCATCGCCCCCCTCAGGGCAGGCTAATCTTCTGAACTATTTTTGCGCACAGATTATCCCCCACTTTTTCAAAATAAAGAGCAAAAGTTTCTGATGTAGGAATATTTGACATACAGTTAACAACTGAAGTGGAAATTAGTGTTGGTATTTAAAACACACCTTAGAAGCAGAGAGTTCTCTGTTAAGATATATTAAAACAAAAAAATGACTGCATTAAACCTGTCAAAAACAGAACCCATTTTTATATGAAAAATAGTAACACTATATACTCTACACAAGCTACTAGTCAAACGTGTCATGAATGCCTTAATGTTGCAGAACATAAAGGTGATCACTGCCTGCTCAGCTTCAGTAGCAGTACTGCTTACATTAGATTCTATGGAATTATGCATATTTTAGTACTTATCTCCACAGAAGATTAATTACTGAGGTCAAGTCTAATACTTGTCCTTTACTTAAAACTAATGGCACTGGAAAAAGTTACAAACCCCCTCCAGATGCTATACTTAACTTTGCCTTGCAAAATGTCATGGAAAAGAACTATCCAAACAGAATTTGCTATATATTTTCTACATCTCCAGCAATGTAGCACATCAGCCTCTTGGTTACTCATTTCAACTTAGAATTCTTCAGCTCTGTATATCTATCTCTAAAGGCCACAAAACCATACAATTCAGTCACCTGTTGAGACCACACATGCTTTCCTCTTGCAATACAGAAATTTATCAGTAGTTGCTTCACTATAGAAGAGACTAAGACTTTATTTACAAACATTCTCTGATCTTGTACAGCATGCCACCTAGATATTTTAAATAGCAAAGTGAAATAGCTGTTTTTATTTCCAGGTTGCATACAGAACTAGAAAGCAACAACAACAACAAATAAAGAAAAATAAACCAACTTCCTCAACATTTAGACCAAAGACAAGAGAACTCCAGTTTTCCCAGAATATGTCCATAAAAGTAAGTCATTTTTATCCTACACATTAAATACATGCACACATATATGTGATGCCACCTAACGAAAGAAAACAAAGACTGTTTTTTCAATGTGCCCCTGAAGGCTTGCTCCCTTAAATTATTTTGTGTGGGAGGATCAATGCTACTGGTGCAACGGAGCTTTTCGCAGACCTGAATCAACATCTCTGTAAAACAGAGACCTAAATTAAGACAACCAGAAGGGCAAGACAAATATTTTTCTCTCTTTGTGCCTTGCTGTGTTTTAATGTCTCTCTTGTCTCACTAATCTGTTTCCAAATCCTTCCTTTTTCACCATGCTTCCTTCCAAATGTCCTCCAACTCTGAGGTTTTTATTAACCTATGTCAGTGCTGCTACTTTCTGTACCAGACACATTTTGAAAGTGGAATGCACAAAAATGCTGGACCTCTCTATGAATGACCTTTTTTTATTAGAAAAAAAAAAAATTCAGGTTCTGAAAGATTTTTACAAGCAGTGTGTATCACTTTGCTGTGATAAATGCAGCATTGGACTTCACATGGTATTGAAGGACTGACTAGCAGTTACGAATTTCTATCATTCAAACAACTTAAAGCTGTTCTAATCAATTTATTCTTCACAAGGAAAATTCCTGTATGTCCATTAAAATTCTACATGTATGTGCCTTTTGCATTTCTTAGAGAGGACAGAAGAAACGCTACAAATGCACACTAACACATTGCAGATGTTTCTACATGCATCATGCTAGAAAACAGCAAAGGAGATGTTTCTGATTTGTCACATGAGCATTCATTTTTATTTTTGATTTGCACACAACTTCAATTGGAACTCAAAAAAAAGCATACAAACACCGGAATTTGAAGTGTTTTTATAGTTAAATGCAGTTTAACCATAGTGTTCTAGATATATTTTAGTAAGTTTTTATTTGTCTTGTTTTGCATCTAAAACTACAAAAAGGCATCTTGTTCTCATCTTGCTTTGCCTTTCAGCAAAAAATGGCAACATAAAAATAAAACATTCTAATTTGGCACTCAGAAACTAGACAGTGTCACTCTCAGTGGGCCTTTTCAGCTTTGCACTGAAGCATGTTTGTTGTGGCTGTACTGCTTTCAGATCAGTTGCTTTGTCTGAGCTCACATTTGCCTCCAAAATAGCATGTAGACATATCCAAGCACTAAAAAGCTTATGCTCCTCCATGGCTCTTGTTTTATGTCCCTCAAATGTTTTTCTGTGACTCAGCCCCAGAAAAGCCAGGAGCAGAGGGTTAAGACTTCCTTCCCAAGTCAGTCTCAGTTCCCTTTCTTGAAAACCATTTGTCTAACCTTCTCTTACAGATCTTTGATGGAGATTTCACAGTCTTTCCAAACTATTTAATTACCTTCTCATCCTCCATTACTGTAACTTTTCCCCTAACATGTAACCTGAATTTTCTTGCAATTTCCCTTATTCACTGTGAATACAGAGAACAAATTGCCTCCTTTTCTTCCATACAAGAATCTTTCACACTTTAAACACTTATTATATATTAGCTTCCCTTCAAACTTGTCTTTGGGCTAAATAAATCCAGTTCTTTCCCTCTTCCCCCCACAGATCATGCTTTCTTGATCTCCAGCTGTCACTGCTACTCTGTGAACTCTTTCAAATGGGTGACCTATTCTTGCACAGCAGTATTCAAATCTGGATGCAGAGCTCAAAATGAAGTTTTACCTGCACTGAGTAGACTAGACAGATAATATAAATTCTCAAGGGAAAAAAAAGAATGGAGAATGCCTCACTAGAGTGGAAACTAAATGAAAATTCATTTAGATCCACTTGAAAATATTGTTTCTTACATTACAAGGCCAGGAAACACTGGAAGGTCAAATAACAACTGCCCAGCAGCAAACAATTTTCTAAGTAATTCCAACATGAGATCCTTAAGATTTTCAGAGTCATACATGCTCATCAATATGCTAATGGAAGAGGAAAGAGGAATTGTATTTTTCTTTCCTCCCACTCTGTCTGGAAAATCTATGGGCAACACCGCAGAAAGCCAGTGGAACTATTTACAAAGAAAACAAAATAGGCGAAGGATCAAGCAGCAGGCAGAGCAGCCAGAAAAATGGTACAGAGCTGATCAGCTTCCTGTTTATTGGTCACTTCTTGAATGGGACACTTTCCCTTCTGGCATCCTCTCACAAGTAGGAAGTTCCCTTTGATATTTATATCTAAGTTTCTTATACAATCTGAATTCTATAATGTATTAAGGTTTGGCCATTTCTTCTTCAAAAAGATTGCTAGAAAACAGGAAGTAAAACACCAAGAAAAAGTTCTCAAATATTCTAAGTGAAGAACTAAACACAAACCCCTAAATTTCTGTTGAAGACCTGGTCTAGAATTCTCTTCAGCTAACTTGCTCCTCGTCCCTAAATACATAAAAACAAGAAAATGAGTACAGCAGGACAAGTAGTTCTCAATGCCTTTTTGTTCAAAAGACACCTGTGACCCCTTCAGAACACTGCAGCCATGAAGATTACAATAACAACTAGGTTGCAGCAAGAAATCAGGGCACAGAAACTTGAGCATTAGTTACCTGGAGTCTTGAAAAAAATAGTAGATGACTGGCAGCTTTGAAGGAGAACGACAGAGAGAAGCTAGATGAGCTGTCCTAGCCAACAGGTGTCCACATCATAAGTTCCTGCTCCCAGAAAAGAAGCAACTGACACTTCTCTGGACAGAGAAACAATCATGGAAGTTATTCAGGTACATGTAAAAATTTGCTGCTAGCTTCTGATCTCCAAAGTATTTCTGCTTAAAGGCACAATTAAAAAGTATACTTAACCAGTGTTTCTCAATAAAGTAGCACTTGGACGGGAAGACAGAAAAGTTTCAAGAACTGCCTCCAGACTGCCAAAGAAGCAAAGCAGCAAGATGCGAGAAAAGCTGTGTCATCTGCTCCTGTGCCAGCTCCTGCTCGATTATGAACTGTTCCACCAGTTCAGCTATTGTTGTGTGATCAGCTTCTATATCATGGTCCACTGGTTGATGAGAGATGGTGGACAGTGTGTGATACTTTTTCTCTTGTAGCAAGAGTAGCCCATGTAATTGAAAGGCGGTTATCATAAAAATGGCAAAGAACGTTACTTGCAACGTTTTGCTTAACTTGCTAAAAAATCCTACTACTACTTCAACAGGTCTACCAGATACAGCAAGAGAAAGTGAAGTGTTAAAATAGCTTTGACAGGGAACAGACCTAACCTTTCAAAGGAAGACCACGGATCGGCGCGTAATGAGAGCCTGCAGACCAGTACTGCCTGTTTCATGCTCTTACACGTACAAACGTTAGCTGTTGTACAAAATAAACGTCTAAATAAGCAGGAATATGGTCACCACGTCCCCGCGTAACATGAGCTCCTGACTGCAAGACGTCAGGCAGCACAGCCTCAGCAGCTGCCCTCGGCCGCCCCAC